GTTTGGCATTATGGTTGTTGCTGTGTGAGTTTGTTGGAGCCAGCGGAGGTCACGTACTGCGAGTTGAGCTGCTCTCATTGTTGTTTTGGCATACTTGGACAGCAACATGAATCTTCACTGTTTAAACGCTCAATGAGCAATAAAATAGCGTCCATGTTGTTTCCACACCAAACTCAGAAAATGGGACCATCCGAGGCGCACCTGAATGCACCACGAAGCTACACTTCTTTCTGCGGGGGTATGGTAGCTGATAAACGTCTTCGTCCGCGTTTCTGACCGACTGACCTGCTGTGACTGAAATAACAGCAACAGACAAACAGGACGCAAAGTCCAACCCTCAGTATCACAGGAAGAGTGTCTCATAACCCCAGAGGTGTGTGTGTGTGTGTGTGTGTGTGTAAAGGCAGGTTACAGCAGCTCCATCTGAGTGATTCAGTGTCTCTGACAGGAAGCAGCTACCTCAGCGTCACCGTGGCGATGAGATAAGATCTGACATCACCTTGATACACACAGGGCACTGTTTCATACACACATCCTTTCTCTGACTGTATCCATAACGAATTTTAAGGAACCTACTGATACAGATGTCGGAATGGGCTCATATGTGTTGTTTTGGAAATTCACGACCAAAACTTTGAACTTGTAATCGTTTTGTTGAACATAATCATAGTTGTCCATGAGAGAGTCGTAATGAAACTCGAACTGAAAACAAGTAAAACTATCTCAAAGTCAGATAAGATTTTTAATCTTCAGTGTATGTAAGTGACTAACTCGTCTGTGAGTTTACCTGACACATCATCCGACCTGCCTGCGGCTACTGATCCTGCAGGTTCAGAGGCGTGTGTGAGTGTGTGTGTGTGTGTGAGTGTGTGTGGGTGTGTGTGTGTGGGGTTATCAGTGGATTTGTCACCTAAAAGCTCAGGCATTTTATCAACATTTTAATCTCACTGCGCCAGACTTCTGCTCCGATGTTGACTCTGGACGTCTGTCTGGTTTTTATCAGGATTCATGGTCTTTGTTTCTCTGTGGAGATAAAAAATATATCTTACAGACGTCATATAATATAATAATATTTATTCATTTAAGTGCTATTTACTTTAAAGTCATATTAAAAAGCAGCAGTGTATTCAGTGATTAGAATAGAATAAACTTTATTGTCCCTGAGGGGAGCTACGATCTCAAAGAAAGAAGAAACATAGGACTATATTTATAACACCGGCAATACAGCAGCTTTAAAAGAGACTTATATTCAGAAACTATAAGAATTAAAGTGCTGGCGTATTTATAGCAAGATTTAGTTTTCAGCAGCTTGATGAAGGTTCCTGCATGATCCAGTAAAATCTGCCTAGAAATCAGTTAAATTTGCCTTTTTGTATACAAACGTTTTTGTAAAATGTTGTCTCAAACCAAGTTTTAAATTTATTGTGAGTAAGTGACATTTTATGTGTGTGTGTGTGTGTGTGTGTGTGTGTGTGTGTGTGTGTGTGTGCAGATACGGAGGCCAGGACTGTTCCGATTGGCAGAGCACTAAAGACAGCGGACACGGTGAGAGCGAGGCTGGAGATGTGGACTGGGAACCGGGAAGAGACTCACCAATAGACCCACAGCTGGAGGAGGGGCTTAATAACCTGCTCATCAACGCCGGTACACACAGAAACACACACAAACACACACAAACATAGAAACACACAGAAACACACACACTGAAACACACAGAAACACACAGAAACACACACACAGAAACACACACACTGAAACACACAGAAACACACACAAACATAGAAACACACAGAAACACACAGAAACACACACAAACATAGAAACACACAGAAACACACAGAAACACACACAGAAACACACACACTGAAACACACAGAAACACACACACTGAAACACACAGAAACACACACAAACATAGAAACACACACAAACACACACAGACATAGAAACACACACAAACACACACAAACACACACAAACATAGAAACACACAGAAACACACACAGAAACACACACACAGAAACACACACAAACACACACAAACATAGAAACACACACAAACACACACAAACATAGAAACACAGAAACACACAGAAACACACACACACTGAAACACACACAAACACACACACAAACACACACAAACATAGAAACACAGAAACACACATAAACACACACACTGAAACACACACAAACATAGAAACACACAGAAACACACACAAACACACACAGAAACACACAGAAACACACACAGAAACACACAGAAACACACACAGAAACACACACAAACACACGCAAACACACGCAAACACACACAAACATAGAAACACACACACAAACACACTGAAACACACAGAAACATAGAAACACACAGAAACACACACAGAAACACACACACAAACACACGCAAACACACACACAAACACACAGAAACATAGAAACACACACAAACACACACACAAACACACACAAACACACACAAACACACAGAAACATAGAAACACACACAAACACACACAAACACACACAAACATAGAAACACAGAAACACACAGAAACATAGAAACACACACAAACATAGAAACACACACACAAACACACACAAACACACACAACATTAATGTAGCCAGTAACCTAATCCAAGTGATTAAGTTACTTTTGGATTACCTCAACACCAAATATGCAAATAAAAATAAGAGAAAAGAAATATCAATAACAAGTATTGATGCAATATGATTAGATGACAACAACAATGTAACCCTTGAAAAGAAAATACTCTGCCTATTTCCTGCTAATTAATCCACATTTACAAAATGTAACTGTAATCTGATTATGTGTTTTTAATCCTGTAACAGTAATGGATTACAGTTACCTTTTATTACATCCTTTTTATAATGTAACTCAGTTCCATGTAATCTGTTACTCCCCAAATCCTTCTGTTAACAACTTCAATATTTCATCCACTAAAAAGCCGCTGTAGTTTTTTAAGGTTTTTAAGATAAAATAATTATTTTATTTACAGAAATATGGCTTTTTAGAGATTCTTAAGAGACTCAAACCACCTTTTGGTCGCCACATTACTGCCACCTGCTGGCTGACAGCCTACAAGGAAGATACATTAGAAAATAAAAACTTACTCCAGACAGTCGGCTCAGGGTAAAAAAAGAAAAGTAGAGTTCAGACAGTTCATCATACCTAAATCAGTATACTAACTCATGGAGTTTAAGAAGGGTGCATTTTCTTACTTTACCATTTACCAAAGGTTGAGTGAAAATAAATGGTTGGGTCGAACAGAGGAGGAACACCGGTTCAGATGGTCGGACGATTGAGTTTTTCAAGAAGCTGACTACTGATGTAGATTAGCTAGATAGGCTAATGTAGTGGTCATTGTGTACCACGCGGTCTAAACTCTGATACCGTGTGACGCTACAGTGTTTGTGTTTACCGTCTTTATATCTCGACTGCGTAAACTCAAGCGGTGTCACTGAGTTCAGGCGAAACTCTTTGATTCACCAGGACAAAAGCTGCTGAACTTCGAACCCCTGAAGAACATACAGACTGCTCACTGTACAATGGACACACACTGACACATGTAGAAAAACAGGAAGAAAGCAGGAAATAACACAGTGGCAGGTTATACATCCACATCCACCCACGCGCTCCACGCGTCGGGGGTTCTTACTCCAACTCATAACGAGTCAAAGATTTCTACCGCTGATACACTTTCTTTGTCTTCAAATGTGATGTTTTCATGCCCAGAACTCAAACTGAGACAATAACAATGTCTTATTATAATTCAGGCTCTCTATAAACAATCACTTTCAATAGTTTATTTTATATAAATCCAACAGCAATGCTATTACTAATAACTATTATCAGTCCAACAGAAATATTAGCTCGTTATTGTTTCTTTTTCATGATGTTAGTGTTAGTTTGGTGTAACTCGCCTGTTAGTATTAGAGCGTTATCGTTGTTAGCACGTTGGGGTTGTATGTTTTCTATGATATCTGTTAGTATTTTTAGGATGCTAATAGTATTAGATTGAACGTGTTATCATAATTTTGATGTCAAGCTCAAAAAATGTCAATGTTATTACTTTATTACTACGACTGTCGTAGTTCTGTCGTTTTAATTATCAACCCGTCACTTTAATCTTTTCAGAGTTTTAACTAAGAAACTTTGGCTGCCAATCATCAAACACACAAGTGTTATTGTTTAACTGGGAATTCCACGGTGGTGTGTAGGCTCGGCTTTTACAACGTCCGTGTACAGATGTGTGTGTGTGTGTGTGTTAAACAGTTTCTTCCTGGTATTGTAGTGGTCGAGCCCTGGAGGCAAACAGAGGGGTTTACCACCTGATGGTGGTAGAGCGAGCTTCACTTTTAAGACAGGGGAGAGAGAAACAAAGAGAGAGTGGGAGTTTTGTGTTGTGTTATGTGTGTGATGCCTGACTCACCTCTACCCTGCAGGCTGTATTATGAGCGTAACTCACACGAGAGTACTGTGGCAGCTCAGTGTGCGTGCCGAGGCTTTGATGAGATGAACACATACCTCTCTCTTTCGCTCTTCGTTTTCTGACCTGTAACTGCTTCTTCTTCGAGGCCGCCGCGATGAATCATACAAACATAAAACCCCCAGGGGCCTTTGTCCGGGCCTGAAGATGATGTTACGTTGGGTGTTGAGAGCTGTGAATGAGAGTATTCTTGTGTGTTCTCAGGTTAAATATCGTAAGTTCACGATGGTGATATTCTCAGTTTTTCTTAGTGTCAACAAATCCCATAAAAAGAACTAAATCAACAATGAATTGATCCTTCCAAAAACTATTGACTCAATCCCACATACGCCGTCCTGCTCCCCCAAATAGGGCCTATAGTCACTAGAGCACCAAATGTGGATTACTCCGCCGCTGAAAATAGTACCAAACAAATACGGTATTTGTTTGATAAAAACTACAGTTAGCAGCTGTTTCAGGACTTTTAAAACAAAATAAAACTGTATATTTCTAAAGATTTATATCAGAACCAATGGGCTGACCAACCATAGATATAGCAGTGGGTTTCAAACTGGGGTCCGGGGACCAACAGGGGTCCTTGAGTGGGTTGTAGAAATTGAGAATTTGACATTATAGGAATCTAGTTCTGTGTGGACAAGACTTTTTTAACAAATCAGAACCAGCTTTAAGACTTGAATCTTTGGGTAAAAGCAGCAATATACTTAAACCTGATATCGGCTGACGGCAGATATCAAGATTTCCCGCTCAGGTCAATGATGCACACTGTGAATATACACACCGAAGATTTATATCGGCCGGGAGAAAAGTGATTTAAAGTAATTTGACTCTGCAGATAAACGAGAGGGGGTGAAGGGACGGTTTAACTTACAGGTTAAACGGAGGGAAAGACGTTAACGTTGGTTTCAAACAGCAGACTTTATTTAATCTCTGAAGGATCGGCTGAAACTCAACGCGTTCAGTGATTGAAAGAGAGGATTGTGTTGGGAGGATTTGTGGTGAAATACTGACAAAACAAAAGGAGGAAAGAAGGGGGGGTATAACTCCAGGGGCGGTCTGTGCCACACTGGGTGTATATATGTGTGTGTGTGTGTGTGTGTGTGTGTGTGTGTGTGTGTTAGTAAGTTCATTCTCTGCATCTGGCTGTGGTTAGATGAAGGAGACCGCAGCTCTTCAGCAGGCTGATCAGTCTGAGCTGCGAGACGAAGAACTTTTACCACATTAATGTGACGGCTGGAGTTTCTGGTTCTGATCCATTTTAGCTCCAAATACACTGTAAAAAAAAAAAACTAAAGTTGAGAAAACTCATAATTTCAAGGCAACTGTGTTCAAAAAAGTTTTGAAATAGACTAATAATAATAATGATAACTTAGTTTAAAAGTCTGTATTTCATAACTGATATATGGATTGTTTATATATATAATTTACTATTTTGCAGCTGCAACTATTTGATTTTAAAGCACCCAAATAATAAAAAAATCTGGTTCACAGCTGTTTTTCTTAAAATAACTAATTGATACAAAATGTTTTAGTTTTTAAAGCTCAAAGATTTAGGTTTAGAAAAAAGTTAAGTTAAGATTAGCATTATAACATTTTTTTTAATTATTTCAAAACGTCAAAGTTGCGTTGTAATAATTAGTTTTCTCTAAATTATTATTTATTTATTTATTTTTACAGCGTTTGGCCTTGGTGTCAGATTTAAACTTCATCTTAAGACTATTTAGTAAACCTGGAGTGGAGCATGTGACCCTTCAACAATGTTTTCAGCCCGTTATCAGTAGACCTTATTTAAATACTTTAATAAAAACATGTGGAATAGGACTTTTACTTGTAAATAATGGGGAATTTGTCAACCTTTTTTTTTTCAATATGTCCTGACTAATACATCTGCAGTGACATATTTTTATGGATAATTCACATTATATTCAAAACTGTACAATGAACCCAAACAGTGAAGTCAGTAACTGCAGGAAGTTTGTGTGAAACGAGAGAATTGGATGAAATCTGAGCAGAACATTTCCTGCTCAGGGAACTTTTTATACAATGATCTGCCTGTATTTTATATTTTTAATAAGATTTAACAATCATACAAACTTAAAAGGCTTTTTTCTTGACAAATTCAGTGTTTTCTTGTTCCTGACGCTTGGCTTTTCTTTCTTACTTACTTTTCTACACCGAAGTGAACCAAATGCTGAGATATAGGCCTACTGTGTATATTTCTTTTCCTAGCACGCCTTAAAAGAACTAAAGTAGAACTTTAAATTAGCTTATACAGGGCTAAAACACAGATACTCAAATATTGTCCATAATCTATTAACATGCATAAACAAAACACATCTCATACTATATATTAATATATTAATGAGCATATAAAGCTGCTGTACCGGCGTCAGCAGCCCTTCACTGTATTTCCCTGAATGACAAGCACTTTCATCTCACCCCGTGTAATCTTCTCCATGTATGAACCGATTCCAACTACGTGCTGAGAGGCTCTTTCATGGCTCTGAGATTAAATTAGATCAGATGAAACCTAAATAGCTCTAACGTGTTGAAGCGAGCGGATAACAACACCAGGAAGAACACGACATAAACAGGATGTGATGAGGATAAGATCAGACAAAATGAGGGTGTTAAACATGAGGAACCGATGTTTTTGTCCAGTGAACAGCATGTCTTATAGTAACTGAATAAATGAAATGAGACGTATAATCATCTCGGATGTGTCTGTTTGTGACTCAGAGACTCGGTTTGTGTGTCTTCACTCAGACACACCCGGTGTTTACGCCTCTGACGGTGACTGGAAAGTCAGACTGGAGGCAGCGAACAGGCCAGGAGAGATTTTTATGGCGGTGTGGACATGATGTTTAGCCGTACGTTCGGAGTGCGCGGGACGCCATGGATGGCAGGAAGAGCTTGTTGACAGCAGCCAGATAAAACCACTGTGTCGTTTCCTCTTTCTCTTCCTGCCTCGTTCTCAGCCAGCAGTCAGAGAGAAACTAAAAGAGAATATAACTCTCAATCTGCCCTGGAAAAGGAGCATGAGGGCAGGAACGGTCTCGGAGTATAACAAGGTTTTCGAAATGAATCTCTTGTTGCATCAGACAGATTTCAAAATGAAAAATAAGCCTGGAAAGAAAAACAGACAAACTCAGACTTTTATGCTTGAACCGGACCAAAACTCTAACGTGTCTCTCTCTTTCTCTCTCTGCAGATGACGTTTTCGCGGAGGTCAACGATCCGGCCTGGATGGCCAGACTCTCTCTCCCACTCGCCACCGATTACCACGACAACGTTTTTGTCCCCAATGGGCCCCCGTCCCCTGAAAGCGAGGTCCTTCCCCGGGACGCCCTGGACTCTTCGTCCTTTTCCACCTTCGGTAAAACACGAAGAACTCTGGGAAGGGAAAACACCACAATCCACTACATTGCATTAACTTATCTTAATAAGGACCATATGAATTCAACTTCGACTTCATTCACTAAACTAATTCTGAAGATCAAAATGAGTGAATGATATTTATTACAAAAATGAGGGATTGTAGGAACTTAACAATAATCTTCCAATATTTGTCTTGATAGATCAATTCATTTAAATGTCAGAAACAGCAAAAAATAACATAAATACTAATTCAGATAGCTTCTGTTGTCCAACCAATGGTCCAAAATCAAAGATATTAAGTTAATTATGGTTGTAAACTAAGAAAACAACAACAAATATTCACATTTTAGAAGCTCTAATCAGTAAATTTTGGACATTCCTGTTTGGAAAGTTACCAACGGTTCATAGACTTCAATAAATTTAAGTATAAATCCTGTTTTCAGCTCCCAGCAGTGACAGATCTCCTTCTCCTCTTCGTTCCCTCAGGTAAAACGCCGGAGAAGGACGGCCCACTGGGCGGCGCCCTCCTCTCTGAGGTCAGCACACTTTTTGAGATGCTGATGACGCAGAAGGCCGACGCCCACCCCGGCCCGCGCCCCGACGTCCTGTACCGACTCTCTGCGGCGTACCGGCGCTCACTGGGCCTGGACGGCAACGCCGCGACTTCGGCAGGCAACGCACCAAAGAACTCTGGGAACGCTGAGAAGAGGTCGGGCCTGGCTCCACCCTCGGGACTTTATTAATAAGTCCGTTTATTGAACACTGGAAAAGACTGAGAGCTGACTGATGCAGCTCAGACCGGGAAGTTACAGAAAATGTTTCATAAGTTTCTGTGTTTGAGGAGTTTGTTGGGATTTTAGAGGCATTACGTGATAAAATACTTCGATATGATTTAAATGTTAGTAATGCCACGATGAATCGCTTTTTGTTTTGAATCAGAAGTTAAATAGAAAGGTTGTGCCACTTTCAACACTGTGCCAATAAGAAGACTGAAGGTCTGGAGATGTTCAGATATTCCCAAATGCACATTAGCTCTCAGTTCATTTAAAGTTTCCAAAGAGCGTTATCAGCAGACACAACTGGACAGACCTACAACCGGTCAGAGCAACGCAACTTGACTCACAACCAACAGCAACGAGTGTGACGTAGCGCTGAGCGACACATGCATGCTGGGGTGGTGCTTGGTCCGTTTGGACTGTCCTTCAGAGGCTGTAGCGGGCTCTGATTTAAAGCTACGGGTATCATAGAAAACTAGATGACCTAACGCATCCATTGGTACCAGCCGGGTCATGCTAGCATGTTGGGAAGGGGTCAAAATCACGCTCCAAAGTTAGGCAACATTTTGGCGATGGAAAAACTGACAATAAGTCCTCTTCTCAGTGTTAAACACAGTTGGTGCGTCTCGTCTGTTCGTGTCTTTCCTTGACTTTACGGTTTGTTGCTGCCTCTAATTTTAATTTCATGGACAGAATTAACAGAATGTGGATCACTGAGTCGTTCTCGTGTGAATTCAGGGAGTAGCTGTCATCGTCCTCAGAGCAATTTATGAATTCAGACGTGTTGAAAATGACAGATCCTGTTAAAATGGTGCTACAGGACTTATTGCCATTAGTAAATCAGGAAGCATCACTTCGGTTCAATCCGGGTTTGATTAAAAGGAAATGGAAGGAATGGAGAAGTGTGGTGGAAGGATGAGAAAGACAGAGGAGACTGTAAGAGAAACTGGAAGGAAGGCTGAGACAGATTTAGAATCAGAAAAGACAACTCAGGTGGAGGAAAAGCAGACAACGGTGTGAGGGAAAACAGGAAGTGAAGGCAGGGTCTTCAAATCGCTGTAGTAACTAACATTAATGGTGAATCTAAAAGTTGAAAATGTGTCTGGTTTCCTTGTTGTCTCTCAGCTGGAGGAGTGAAACTCACATAGAGCAGGAACAGAGGCCATCCTGTCAGGGCGTAATAAACGTGGCTGTGGCTATTTGGCCTGCAGAAAGCAAGCCGGCGACTAGAAGGAAATGTCGCTTTGTCTTCAAGACTAAACAGAAACCAGAAAGTGTTTATTGACAGTGGAGCAGCTCAGTCTGAACCTCCCCTGTTCACCCCCTCTGAAAGCTACTGCTTTAGGATCACTGTTGCTTTTTCAGGTGGATTTTGGAATGTGAACGTTTGAATTATATACATCAATAACTCTCCAGTTGTCTCTTAAGTTATTGGTTTAACTTCCATCCAAAGTTGTCTTATTTGTAGGGTTTTTTTTCTCACTGTATTTTGCAAACCAAATGAACAGCACTTTGTACATAGTCTTTTTGTAAAACTTTTTGTATCAAGGAAATGTTTGTGGAACATTTTCATTGTTCAAAGTTGGTTTTGTAACTTTTTAAAAAAATAAAAGTTGTATCATTCAAGAGAGCTCGTCATGTTTTCATGTCACCAACACCATTCAGAACCTCATTTGAAAAACACCAGATTTAATTATTAAGTATGTATATGAATCCTCCTCTACTCTGTGTGTGTGTGTGTGTGTGTGTGTGTGTGTGTGTGTGTGTGTGTGTGTGTGTGTGACATCTGCTCACATTATGGAGACTCGCCTTCTTTCTGTGGGATCAAACATTTGCTCTCCACAAAGTAAACTTCTCATTTTGGGATGAAGATTCTTTTTCGGTGACGGTCAGAGTGATGGATGCTTCAGGTTTGGGTGAACCTCTAAATAATAAATTGTCAAGGCAATGCAGCATTCTCACAAGTGACAAAAATGTGTATGTTTGGTCGATAACTGCTCAGATGTTTGTGCAGAGCGCCATCTGGTTTCACATTACACTCTTGCAGACATTCAGCCCAAAAACATTAACAACAGCACGACCTGGTGGCAGCTTCAGGTAACAAACATATATATGATATTCCCTAAAGTGCACAATAGAAAACATAATTTAGGAAAGTAAATAAAATGTGAGCTGAGGTTTTTTAGACTGATGCTGCTGATTTTAGAGAGGAGAAATGCACTGATTACCAACAGGGCAGCCATTATTTAACTGGAATGTATATAGACATCCTCTGTGTGGATTGTGCACCAATATGACTGCAAACAAGGATGCTTTCGTAAACAACAACTAACAGAATACTTAAGTTAAATAACAGGTTGAATAATTAAATTCTATAAATGACCACAAATAAAATGCAGAATACATTCAAATATAGTTCAATACACACCAGTAAGCTTCAGTATTGTAAACAATAGAGTTGGAGCGCGCTCTGCTGGATAAACTACATAATGATATCATTTCTAAATCACCCCAAGTCTGGGTTTCTGCTTTCTGTAAGAAGGTTTTCATATCGATACTGTGGCAGGCTCTAGTTGTTATCAACAGGATGGTGAGACCTTCTGCTTGCTGATACTGGTGTTTATATAGCGGACACGCTCAAAGCGTTAGCACTGGTTCTTTTTCAGTTCTCATTTGCTGTGTGTTTGTTTGTACTGCAGAGGAATGACAAGACATCTGTAGATTAAAACAGCTCATTCTAAGGTAACGAAAACACAACAATTCTTATCCTAAGGTGATTATACACTAATGAAAACATACCTATGAATATTATATTCCATTTCTGACAGTAGATCCTTCTAGTTGTTACACACTGGACCTTTAGTATCGTTTGGGGGACTTTTTCCCCCTATTTTAAACTCTTTAGAAGTTTTTTTATAAAATTAACCTAATTTTTGTTGTGCTTTAATTTTTTGTTATTTTAAACGTCACCATTCAGAGACCGCGCACACATGTTTAAAATAGATTTATTTTATATCACCCAAGAGCAAACCAAATGCTTCCAAAGGGATGTAAGCTTCACTGCCACCAGCTGCGGTTGTTAGGGAGTTACATCCGAGCTACGTTCGATCTGAAAACGCTCAATGTGTCCAGGTTGAACGGCATCCAATCAGCCGTATTAATCAGTGCTCTTGTGTGCGTTCACAACACTGTGTGTAAGTTTAATTTAAATAAACATTTCGCTACGTTTTGATCCCATCCGCACCCGTCATCACAGATATACATATATACATTTATACTGAACGCTTTCATGTAGATTAGCTAGCTAGTCAGCAGCTTGTGTGCACAAAAGCGTGTTCAAGGGAACACCGTTTAATTTAAAGAAACATTTTAATATGTTTTGTCGGAACAGAACGCGGCCCAGGTGAGATAAATCGTCCCTGGAGAGCATTGACCGCCCTCAGGCTCCCGTACAAAGGGTAATCGCAGATATTTTGAATATTTTTAAACTGATATATTGTTAAATATGAAGTTCTGTACTTAAAGTTTCTTAAGAATTGAGTATATTGTATTTGACTTTGAATAGTCTCTACAAAACGCAATATTTCCAGTTTCTAGAATTTGTGTTACTGATCGTTTTAGAAACTTCCTGTTATATTATTTCTTATTATTTCTAGTTTGTACAGAATCTTTGGCCTAATTGTCGTCAATCTTTCTTCGCTTTTTCTCCCTAAACTGCTGCTGCTGTTCACTTTTTGCACTCCCCTTACAGTATTTTCTATTCTACAGTAACAGTATATTCTGTGGAGCCTGCATACATTCATCAAGCTGCTCTCGCTGCTTTTTTCAGTACACTTAGAGTCTGCAGGAGTTTACTACTTTCTCAAGCAAGCTGAAATCTAACTTTTCTCGGGACACTTGCGATGAGCTTTGAGCATTTATAACGATCTCAGCCTGTAGAGGAAATATTAATTTACAAGACAAACTGGTCCAGTTTAGATTTACTGAGGAGCAGAAAAGAGCAAAACAAACACTTTTCTTCCTCCACAGATGGAGTAAACAGGTAGGAGTGGGAGCAGCAGCCCAGAGGCAGGAAATAGATCTGGAAGCTGCTAATGCACAGTTTGCTATTAAATGTGCCACCTGTGAGTTACTGAATGTGAGAGAAACCAAGAATCCAATAAAAACTCGATTAAAACAACACTAGTATTTTATTTTGTAAACCCTAATAATACAAGCGGAGTATAAACTCATTTCTGGCAGAAATTGTGAGGATGTTTGGGGGCCGGAGAGTGAGTCCCAGGAGGAGCCGATGTGGAGGAGGGAAAGTAGATTCACCTGCTGCAGAATAAAACACAGTCAGGCCTCCATGGAAATATGTAAAGGAACAATAAATAAAAAGCAGACGCACAGAACCAGTGTTAGAACAACAGGTGTTTAATTTAGCTCCAGTCATCTCGGATGATGAAAGAGCTGGAATATCATTTAAGGCCGAGGAAATAATCTGTTGTTTGTATTAAAAAGGAAAAACGGGACAAAAAGAAAAGGTCTTTTATTTGTGATTCATTCACACCGATGCATGCTTTTTTCATTTTTCCTGATTTGGGATTTCTCCTTTGTGTGATTAGTTATATTTTATAAGGAGAACAACACAATGCAGCACAATGGAGAAGTCATGGGGTCTTTATTCTACATTTAGTATTACTGAGACTGAGAAAAGGGCTGAATTTGCATCTTTAGACCACAGAAAAATAAACCAATAATTATAACATAGATATTTTGAGACTTAAATATTGTTTATTGTTTATAGTTTAAATTAAGTATTAAACATTTTGGGATATTCTTCCCCAAATCCCCATTCTACTTTACTAAGTACTCATAATGCAGAAAATACCCCCATGTGAGTGTTATACTACTTCATTACTGGATTCTTATTAGGATATTAATATTCTTGATGTATAATGTGTTGTAAGTAATATGTGACTGTTACTGGCTTAATTTGAACCATTTTATGTGTTTGAACTAAACTAAACTTCCCAGCAGCACTTGTTTAAAGTAACAAGTAACTCAAACTGCAGATAAATGAAGCCTACTGGAGCGAAAACTACAATAATTCCCTCAGAAATGGACTACAAGAACAAAGTAGCATGACACGGAAATAATGGAAAAATATAGTTAAAGTACAAGTACTTTAGTAAACTAGTTACTTTCCACCACTGTTGCAGAGCTTAATGTCAGTCTGCATCCAGCTCCAGCTAACTAATGATTGATCTATTGGATAGCTAGTCAGCTAGTGTTTTTATAACATTAGCTTACCAAATTTAGCAATTTAGGAACCAAATTTATATATATATATATATCTATATATATCTATATATATATAGATATATATATCTGATTATCTGGTTATCAGGGCTCCTGTCAGTGAGGGGATATATCAGGCAGACATTGTGATGGACGACTGGGTCAGAACATCTCCAAACCTGCAGCTCTTGCAGGTTGTTCCCGGTCTGCAGAGGTCAGTACCTATCATAAGTGGTCCATTGAAGGAAAAGAACTGGAGACAAGGTCAAAGGAGGGCCAAGGCTCATTGATGCACATGGGGAGTGAAGGCTGGCCGGTGTGGTCCGATCCAACAGACACAGTGCAGAGCAGTCTGTTGGTCTGGGTCTATTGTGGCCCAGAGAGAAAGGGGCTTATTTGGCTTCAAGTGCCACTGAGCAGCTTTCAGAGGAATGAACAGAGCCTCCGATGCTGTATCCAGTTCTCTCTATGCCTCAGAACGTGTCCGTGGACTTTCCAATCTGCAGATTGTCATTTTAGTAGCTGAAGTCCAGTTTCTGAACTTCCAGATCTCCTTTCAGTAGCAGCTCAGCAGAGCTGCAGAGCAACACTTTTGTTGAACACTGGTGACAGGAAATTAGGAAATTATTAAAATCCTTTCATGACTTCAACAGTGAGACTTCTGTCTTTGTTATCTGTTCAGGCCTGATAACAGCAATTATAAAACAAGTTAAATTCTTCAATAAATGCAACATTTCGACCTCTTTCAGGAATAATTTCTGAGAGAAAATTACAGCTGATCAAACTCTGCCAAACAAACTCAAACACAATGAATAACTGCAAATGGTGCTTTGGATTCTGTCTGCTGTTACAGTAGAGCTGCACCGCCAGAGGGAGGGAGTATAGTTCCTGCCCAACATGTATAAAACATCTCAGTAAAGCCTCAGACACATTCAGGCTCATAAAATATACAGCAGATACTCGTTGTCCTTTTAAAGACTTAATATCTTTATATGTGAGGATTATCAGACTACACATTTCTACTGTACATTAAACTTAAACACCACTATATAACACTGTAAACGTACTTTGTATCATGTATAACTCTTCCACAGCGTTAAACTGCTGGTGGGTTCTGGCCTCCAGGCTTGCCGTAGGCTGCTTCTTTGAGCTGTGTTTTGCTGTTTAGACTCCGCACACGTCCTCCAGAACTCTGCTAGTTCTCCTCAGCTCAGGCAGAAGTTATTGATTGTTTTGGGAAAATTCCTGCCAACTGCTCGATGAAAAGAAACCAGATAAAAAGCCTCTTTTTGGGGATGTCCCCCCCTCCCCCCCTCCCTCCTTTAGTTGTAATTCACCTGAAG